CCCCAAAACCCCAAAACCCCAAAACCCCAAAACCCCAAAACCCCAAAACCCCAAAACCCCAAAACCCCTTTATGAGGGAGTAAATTGATAATAATTATATAAATGGAAAGTATGGAGATAACTCCTTCACGTTGCCTAGTCACAATCTCACAGTTATTCAACTCAAAGGAAATCAGCAAGAAAGAAAAGTTAACGCTGAAATACCTAGTTTTCCTAGAATACACTGAAGTCTTCCAGTTGTTCGAGAATGCTATTAACGACAAGATCACACACAAGGCTTTGGTAGAAGAACTTAAGAAAGTAGCAAGCTATATGACCATGGACAGGATCGAAGTGTTATAAAAGATAAGTATCATGATGAAGAAGCCCTAGCTGGCAGCCCTGACATCAGGAAGATTAAAAGGAAGGCCCAACAGAAGAAGAAACAGATTGTCGAAGGCAACTCTCCTAAGGATATGATGTCCCCGATGAGCACAACAATGATTAAGATTAAAAGGAAAAATGATAAAAATTCTAATAAAAACTCAAGTAATTTCTCATTGAGATCTGGTAATTTCGAGCATAAAAGAGGGTAAGTGCTCAGTAATAAGCTGCTTAATACAGAACTCTAAACAGTTCAGACTTACTGGGTTTTACATCTGATTAGATCCATACAAACTGATAAAGCATTCTGTATAATTTTTCTAGAATCATTTTTCCTTATAGAACCAGTTATAACGCTGATATGAATAATGGCAGCGTGGGCAGTTTAGGAGGTCTAGCTCCCTGAAATATCGGAAACAGCCCTGAATTTACAAAATCTAATTTGAAAGAAGTCATACAGAAGACGAGACTTAATAAAGGTGCTAATACAAATTCTTAGTGTTAGCTTTGTAATAAATTTGGGATGATTCATTGGTAAATTCGAATGATCTTCTACAATGCAGCTTGACTAGATTCTCAAGTTAATAGTTCGTCATTTGTTAAATTAAGTTCAAAGGTGCTGACAGTTAGATGGACAACCATTTTAAGCAGTTTTCAATTTTGGATGTTAATTAAGGGGTTTTGGGGTTTTGGGGTTTTGGGGTTTTGGGG